AACAAGTTTTACATTTACTGTCGGCAGCTCAATATGAAATATGAGACAGAAAACATTGTATCTCCAGCAAGTCCCAACGTTTTAATCTGAAAACTCACAAACATTTAAATTACTAAAGTTAAAAACATCTTGTTTTTATCTTATTCGATTTTCAAGCATTTACTTCTTAACAGCCAAATGGAAGAAATAAAAGTTTGACATCGTGATTGTATCTTAGTTTATGCTGGTTTGTTGTTCAGCTTGGCTAGTTGATATTCAGCCTGTATTTAGTCTTTAGTCCTTGTTATCTGTTGTTTAAGCAGGGTTTAGTTTGGTTTATGTAAATAAGATAAGGTGCTTTACCTTATCTTGGCTGGTGTGGCTTATTTCATCTTATTTTATTTTAGCTCAGCTTGTTTTAGCTTGGTTTGGATTAGCCTATCCTAGCTTAGGATAGCTTAGCTGAACTGAATGTGGCTTAGTATAGCTTATCACAGTATAAAGCCAGAAACACTTGAATAAAAAACAGACTATTTTTCAAATATCTAAATGATTTTATGAAAACACAGAAATGTTCGGTTAGCTTAAACTTTAGCAACCAGCAGGTAATAAAATGGTCGATCTGTCTCTTATCCTGTTTGTTTCAAAAGGAGAAATTTTTTATGGAACTTCATACCTTAAATGAAATATGACATAAAAAACTTCTTGGGCATAAACAATGTGTTCCCTTCACTTAGTTTTCCCTTCAGATCAGTGAACAGATGTGCAGAATCTATGAAATCCTTCCTGGGATTTAGTTTTGAAAGATGAACACAAACTAAGTGTTTGCTTGTTTGCCCTGCAGCGCCGCCGTCGAGTCGGATCCAGAATAAAACCCCAGCTGGTGAACGTTGGAGAGCTGAGAGGAGCCGACTGAGCGCGCTCAGTAGCAGATGGTGACACTGCAGCAGCACTTCCCCAGGTACCACAGCATGTTAACAGAGAATGCCTACGCAGGAATATAGCACACCATGCTAACACAGGACGCTAACAGGATGCCAACACATCATGCTAACACAGCATGCTAAGACAGGATGCCAACACATAATGCTAACCAGCGTGCTAACACAGGATGCCAACACATAATGCTAACCAGCGTGCTAACACAGGATGCCAACACATAATGCTAACCAGCGTGCTAACACAGGATGCCAACACATAATGCTAACACAGCGTGCTAACACAAGATGCCAACACATAATGCTAACACAGGATGCCAACACATAATGCTAACCAACGTGCTAACACAGGATGCCAACACATAATGCTAACACAGCGTGCTAACACAAGATGCCAACACATAATGCTAACACAGGATGCCAACACATAATGCTAACCAACGTGCTAACACAGGATGCCAACACATAATGCTAACACAGCGTGCTAACACAGGATGCCAACACATAATGCTAACACAGCGTGCTAACACAGGATGCCAACACATAATGCTAACACAGCGTGCTAACACATGACGCTAAGACACCAAGCTAGCACAGGAAGCTAAGACGCCAAGCTAACACAGGACACTAACACAGTACTTAATTTATTTGAATAAAATCCTGAACTTTACATCAACTGAAGGATTTTAAGACATCTGATTAGTTAAAGTTAAAAAGTGTAAAATATAGATAATGTTATTTGGTAAATAAAACCCAGTTATTGATTGAATAGTAGTTTTGTTTTTGCTGCAGCAGGGAAATGGGTCAGAGCACCACTGCAGGGGAACGGCACATTCATTCATTCATTCATTCATTTATTCATTCATTCATTTCTGCCGTTAAGCTGCAACAATGAAATTAGGACAGAATGGAGAGATATGAGCTGGAGAGGCAGGTGGCGCTCTTCTGGTCTCCAAATCAATTATTATCAATAAACTATATACAATGCAATTGGCAATATGTGGGGGAGGGGCAGCGTTTCATCACGGTTTACAGGTTTTAGAAACAAAATAAAGTTTATATTTTAGTGGTTCTTAAACAAAAACTTTATTATATAAATATTTCCACTGGGGGATAATTTGGCCCTTGTGGGCTCACTTGTGCTAATTTGCTAACATGCTAATAGCAAAACTAATTCATGTTGAGAGCTTTGCTCATTTGCTAACTGTGAAAACGTTTAGCGCACTTAGCTTCCCCAATAAATTCAAAATGCAAAAAGATTTTGTCTGTTTTGTGAACTTTCAGTGGATGAAGTTTGACGTGTCGGTTGAATTTCTGGTGATCAACTGTTAACAATCCTTCATGCTCTTATTTTGAAGTCTGTTTTTGCAGCAGTTTTCTTTCCTCTTTAGTTCCCCAATAAAGAAACAAGCAGGAACAAAATGAAGCAGACAATAAGCAAAATCTAAAGAAGTCATGGAAGATGTAAATTATTTCATAATTAAGTTGGTGATCGAGGGTTTTAGTCTTTTTAGTCTTTTTAGGGCAGATGCAATTTGAATCGATGTTAGCGCGTTAGCATTAGCTGTTTTAGCGTTACAGTAGCTAATGTTACGGTACTCGCTTGTTAGTTCCTGTGACTAACCAGTGCTTTGGGTTAGCTGCCTAATTTTGTGCTGCCACTGAGTTTTGGCCTCGTTTTTCTGCAGTTATGCTCATGTGGGAATTTCTTTATTGTTTCTGAAAGAGTTAATGAAATGATTTCATGGTGTTTTTTCTCTGGAATTTAGTCTTTATTGGTTGGAAACAAAATGCTGTGGCCAATGTTCCCTCTAAGCTGCGCCTGCGCAATCGCGCTCTGTTCACATATTCGCAGCGCACAAGAAAATCTATGTAGCGCATAAAATAAAGTCCAACGTAAAGTGGACATTGAGCTCAGACATCAGTTTTGACTATGGACCAATAATTTTTTTTCCGTACTACTTTGCGATCGAACTCAGTGAGTGACAGGAATCCAGCCAATGATACGATACGGTTCACTTTCGCTACGTGGGTTATGTGCCTTGGTCATATGGCCGTGCAGGTGAGAATAGTGCGGTAGAGTTAAGAAACGTGAAAGCCATCACCTTATTATGTCTAGTGGGACATCCACTCACCAAGACAAAGTAAAAAAAAAAGAAATGCACTTCTTCTAAGACCAAATGGAATCAAATCAAATGAAAGGAATGGTCTGCATTTGATATTGAAATGTTGAGTTCAACATGTTGAGTTTGATTTTTTTTAATAAGCCATGCAACTTTCTATGATCCCAGATTTTTGATACTTGTGCGTGGCCACGCCGTGTACACTGATGATGCTCACAGTGGTCCTCAGTGGCCACGCCGTGTACACTGATGATGCTCAGTGGTCCGCAGTGTGTTCAGGAAGCTTGTGTGTACGCCCAGACACATGAAACATTAGAGGGAACATTGGCTCAGACTGCCAGTGGGAATCGAACCTTCAGCTGCTGGCGGTGTGTGACCTTTGTGCGTCCACTGCAGCACTGCTGCGTGAACTGAGTTCAGCTTTTCCTTCTCTGCCGTTTGTTTCTGGGCTGCGGCGTCTCAGTGTGGTTTAATTGTTGCGCCGGTCGCATCCAAACGTGGAGAAACTGCTTCAGGTCGCAGAGAGAAATGTCAGTGGCCGTGACATTAAGAGGAAACGGTCAGCGCTGCTGATGCGCGCTGGAAACCCGAGGTGAGTCACACAGCGGCTGGAGGAAAACACTGAGATCCAGCAGCAGTTTCTAATCACTCAGCAGTGAAATGGAAATAAGAAGCAGTTAATGGTTTTCAGATTTATAATAACATAAATGCTGCTTCACATGGATCAGACACGATGTTGCCACTTGAAGCCGTTGTTAACGCCCAGATTTCCTGTCTGGCTTCTGCTGCAGATCAGCGACAGAAAGGTATAAAACTGTCAGATATGATTCGGTTCCGGGAATCAGATCGGATTGTTTTGGTGGTGAACAGATCAGAATCAGGCTGATTGTCTTCCTGCTGGTGAGCACCACGTTGATGTTAGTGCAGGGTGTCCAACTTTCTGCCCATGGCACCAAAACTGGCAGGTGGGAAAATGAATTTTCTTTGATTTAAAAAGAATAATGAATAAATTGTCGCGTTGATGGAAATCTGATTCAGTGAAGCTGCAGGGTTTTCATCCAAATCACGCAGCGGCAACGAGTCAGATCAGGAGTTTCTGCCGAGCCGAACAGATCCACTTCCTGTAGAGACGGTCAGAAAACAGGTGGACGGATTCGGGAAAAAATCAATAAATGATGAATGAATAATGATTTCTGTCCTCATTTTTTAGACACAAAAAAAAAAAAATCTGAGGCATGAAACGTTTGAGGGTATATTTGTTTGTACTCAAGATACATGATGGAAAATCCTCACAATCTTTAGCTTCTGTAGCTTCATTAGCATTCTGTAGCTTCTGTAGCTTATTAGCACCTTTAGCTTCTGTAGCTTCATTAGCACCTTTAGCTTCTGTAGCATTTTCATCTAGGTATTCGTTCAGCTAACACATCTTAACACTTAAACTGTAACACAAATGCACCAAACATTTTGTTTGAAAACAAAAAAGTTAATCTTTAATAACAAAATTGAGTTTTCATTGCTATTTCCAGTACAATAACTTTAGCGGTTAAAATGTAAATCCAGTGATTAATTTTGTCCACTTCAATTCCTGTTTATTAAATTTAATTTCCTGAAAACACAAAGTCAAGTTTTATTTTGTTATTTTTACTGGTTTCAAACTGCAGAAGCTCTGATTAGCTCTGCATTTCTGACTCGCCTCCTTGCTGGTCATTCCTGGTGAACTTCCACTGGTTGGCCAGTAGGAGGCGGTGCACCACAGAGTGAATGCTTCCAGTATGACCAGCTGACCCCCCCTAACCCCCCACTGTAGAGGCAAAAATAATTAATCATTCATCTGTTGATGTTTATAATCACTGTAATAAATCCACTGCAGCCTTTGTGTGTGTGTGTGTGTGTGTGTGTGTGTGTGTGTGTGTGTGTGTGTGTGTGTGTGTGTGTGTGTGTGTGTGTGTGTTTCCACAGCATGGAGCAGACGGTGCGGTCCCTGCTCCAGAACCAGGACTCTCTGGACGGACCCAAAGTGGATCCTCTGGACCTGATGAAGGCCTACAAGGTTCAGCTGTTAAATAATAACAATTTTATTTTGATTCTGGAACATTTTAATTATAAACCCTGGAGAGAAAGATGAAAGCTGACGATGAATCCAACCTGCCAGGCTTTGATGTTGCTCATTAGTAATGGGGCGGGGCCAATCTGTGCATATCTTCAAAACTAACAAACCGACAAGCCGCATCGTTAGTGGATCTGAGGTTTGTCTCATCGTTCCTGTTTTCTGTGATAAACTGCAGAATCTGACTGTCAGTAAGAAAACATGAACTTTAACATGATTTCAGCAGAAAACTCCTTAAAGGGACAGTGCTCTTTAGAAAAGGGTTTCTGTGGAGTAGTCATGAGCAGTTAGTGTCTTCCAGGCAGCAGAGAGGAAGAAATCTCGTCTCTGTGGAGTTTTTATGTAAAATCTGCTGATTCTAAACATTTCTCTTTCATACCAACAAAAACAAATTTTTTCCAAAAAACAGTTACCAGAAAGATACTTACAGTGAAATAAACAAGTTACTTTCTTGCTAGCAGCTTTTATGTGACAGAGCAGCAATCTAAAAACTTCCTGCGCAGGACAAGCTGCTGGAGGAGATGTGGAAGCAGCAGGACAGCCTGGACGCCCCCCCGCCGCCGCGCCGCCGTCCCCGCAGGCCGCCGCCGACAATCCTCTGCTGGAACGCCTTCGAATGCTGGAGGTAAGCCGGGTTTGAATGACCTTTAACCTTTCACAGACTGATGCACACCTCGTTTCTGATCATGTTCTCTGGGTGTACTTTCTTTTTGTGATGGCAGTAAATGTGAATAATGAAGTGAGTGAGAGATGCAGGCTCTGATCAGATCGTCTGATCAGAGCCTGAAGGTTACCTCAGGATCAGCCGGTTTATCAATCTGAACGTCGGAGGAAAGCGGTTCTTCTTCTTCGTCTGTTTTATTTCCTGCTGCCTGCGTCCGCCTCCAGGTTTATGGAGTCATCATTTCTCCTCTTTGAAACGGTTTCTGCCCAGTCGGGGAAATTGAATTTCACCTTCTGCCGGATCGTCACGGAGTTTGATCCCTGAAATTTACAGCATCACCAGTTAGGAGAAACGCTGCTGCAGGCCAAAGCCTGGCTCTCAGACCTTTCATTTCCTCGCTCAGCGTCGTTTCAGACTGGATGGCCTGTAGTTACTGGTTCAGGTTTCATTCCAGCAGGGAGCGCTGTGTGGACTGGTTTATCTGGACTTTCTCTGGTTCTGATCCGGTTCTGATTCGTCTCTGCAGGCGGAGAACTCAGCACTGTCTGTGGAAACGACAACCAGAGGAAGCAGTACGAACGCTGCTTGGACGAGGTCAGTGATTCGGTGTTCAGGTTTGGGGTCAAAGGTCATTATGAGAATCAGGCTGCTTCTGTGTTTAAAAGTATGAGATTATAAACCATGAATACAGGAGAAGTTCTATCTGACTCCAGTCTGCCTAGTCAAAGTCCAGTTCAGTTGGGGAGGTGTGGATGCTGATCGACCTCTGGTCTGGGTTCAATTGAAGTGAACTCTGATTCAGTTTGAATGTGAACGCGAAGGGGACCAGAAACCTCTCCTAAAGCAGGAAGTGGACGACAGCACAGGGTATTCTGGGTAAATCCAACCAGAGCTAACATGTTAGCCTAGCGTTAGCAGCAAATGGCTCCTGGTCTTCAGCCAAAGTCTAAAGAGAAATCACTAAACTCTGACGCCTCCATCTTGTTTCATCTGGTGAAACAGAAGTTGCTCTCAGTGTCTTCAGAGGTTTTAGTGTCGTTTCCTGCAGTGGTTGTTGGTGCAGCGCCCCACAGGCCAGGAGGGGAACAGGCTGTTTTCAGAAAAAGTCCTTTTAGTTTTGTAAACATTTTTCTTACATTTCAGGAAAATTTATGGTTGGTTCCAAGACAGTCTTCTGCGTTATTTAGAAGGATTCTGTGATTTACAGAAAAACTTCTTCAAACGTTCTGACAACATTTATAATTTATGATATTAAAATAAGTGTTCATAAAGGCCTTTTGGCAATAATTTCTGACTTACGGCATAATGTCAGAGCCAGACTAAGAGCTCTGCTTATATAAGTGTGAGGATAAAGTCATAATTTACCTCCAGAAAGTCACAAAATTAAGAGTAAATGTCATTTCAATGAGATGAAAGCTTGGACAGAGTCAGTTGGAGGTGTCGCCGCCCTGCAGGCTGGTTGCTTTATGAAATGCTGCCTGCGTGAATTTTCTAAACTGAACAGAAATTTGAGATAATTTCTGAAGAATCAGACATGAGAGGAAATCCTGCTGGATCAGACAATCTCTGCTTTCGCTCTGGAAAATTAACAAACTGAATTTGATTTGAGTGAAAGGAAAACAACGCAGGGTTCAGAGAAAAGGTTTTTTTAGACGTTGTGCTGAGGGTAAAGTTTGGATCAGTGGAGGCAGCTGCTGATTGTTTACCTCCAGGTCGACGCTGTGATGCAACATCCTGTCACTTTGAGCTAATCGCTCCTCATTATTTCTGTTTTCCAAACCAAGCTGCAGCTCAGATCTGTGCTAACCTCCCTGTGCTTCCCCCAGGTTGCCAACCAGGTGGTGCAGGCGCTGCTCACGCAAAAGGTTGGTTCCTGCCGCACTCTGAAGAAAGAGCCCAAATGCTTTGAGTTAGCCGGGCTGAAACTGATGGTAGAGACGCAGAAACCTTCATGAACAGAGCATTCAGCTGAAGGCAGCAGAGTTTAGCTTAGCATAGCATAACAAAGCTTAGCTTAGCGTAGCTTTTTACAGATGAAATATTTTAGAAGCTGGTTTTGAAGGGAAGTGGTGAATCTGTGTTTGTTGCGTCTTCAGGACCTGAAGGAGGAGTGTGTGAAGCTGCGGACCCGCGTGTTCGACCTGGAGCAGCAGAACCGGATCCTGAGCGTTCTGTTTCAGCAACGGGTCAGAACCTCCACCGCTCCCATCTCACAGGTAGGAAGTCACCCTGTTTGAAATGTACTCCCACCAGCATGTTGACCATTAATCAGTGTACTATGCTAATAGCAGAGTATCAACTAAAACTACATTAAAAACAAATTTTTGCTAAAAGTTCTAACATTAGCAGGACGGCTGTCACTGGGATGTTGACAATGTTCTCCATTGAGTTTCGGAGCTAAAGGTTTCAAACTAAAAGATGCTAATGTAAAAGGGTTGGCTAAAGCTGGCATGTTGGCTAACAAGGCATCATGTCAGAGCCAAACTAAGAGCTCTGTCTATAAGTCTTACTTTTTACTTTTTGGTCAAAATAAACTAAACAGGTAATGATGCTGTTTTAGAAATTCTCAATTTGAACAAGAGAGGAAGAAAAAGGAGAAATGAAGGGATGAAGGAGTGATGGAGTGATGGAGGGATTGATGAAGGAGTGATGGAGGTATTGATGAAGGAGTGATGGAGGGATTGATGGAGGAGTGATGGAGGGATTGATGAAGGAGTGATGGAGGGATTGATGAAGGAGTGATGGAGGGATTGATGAAGGAGTGATGGAGGGATTGATGAAGGAGTGATGGAGGTATTGATGAAGGAGTGATGGAGGGATTGATGAAGGAGTGATGGAGGGATTGATGAAGGAGTGATGGAGGGATTGATGAAGGAGTGATGGAGGGATTGATGGAGGAGTGATGGAGGGATTGATGATGGAGTGATGGAGGGATTGATGAAGGAGTGATGGAGGGATTGATGAAGGAGTGATGGAGGGATTGATGGAGGAGTGATGGAGGGATTGATGAAGGAGTGATGGAGGGATTGATGAAGGAGTGATGGAGGAGTGATGGAGGTATTGATGAAGGAGTGATGGAGGGATTGATGAAGGAGTGATGGAGGGATTGATGAAGGAGTGATGGAGGTATTGATGAAGGAGTGATGGAGGGATTGATGAAGGAGTGATGGAGGGATTGATGGAGTGATGGAGGGATTGATGAAGGAGTGATGGAGGGATTGATGGAGGAGTGATGGAGGGATTGATGAAGGAGTGATGGAGGGATTGATGAAGGAGTGATGGAGGGATTGATGAAGGAGTGATGGAGGGATTGATGAAGGAGTGATGGAGGGATTGATGAAGGAGTGATGGAGGGATTGATGAAGGAGTGATGGAGGGATTGATGAAGGAGTGATGGAGGGATTGATGGAGTGATGGAGGGATTGATGAAGGAGTGATGGAGGGATTGATGAAGGAGTGATGGAGGGATTGATGAAGGAGTGATGGAGGGATTGATGAAGGAGTGATGGAGGGATTGATGGAGTGATGGAGGGATTGATGGAGGAGTGATGGAGGGATTGATGAAGGAGTGATGGAGGGATTGATGAAGGAGTGATGGAGGGATTGAAGGAGTGATGGAGGGATTGATGGAGGAGTGATGGAGGGATTGATGAAGGAGTGATGGAGGGATTGATGATGGAGTGATGGAGGGATTGATGAAGGAGTGATGGAGGTATTGATGAAGGAGTGATGGAGGGATTGATGAAGGAGTGATGGAGGGATTGATGGAGGAGTGATGGAGGGATTGATGAAGGAGTGATGGAGGGAGCGTTTTCTCTCCATATCTTCCTGGTTTTGGTCCGTCTTTCGCTCCGGTTCTGGATCTGCTGCCTCCATGTTGGATCGGCCCTCGTTAGCATGCAGCCAATAACTGAGAGAGAATTATGGATGAACCAGTGAAATGGAAAATGTGTTTCTGACTGGAGATACACTTGTTAGCTTCCCTAATCGCTCTGACAGCGCACCTGTTCCCGAAAGGCTGGCTGACTCCGAGTGAGAGCGGAGCGACTTGCCGGGAAGAAAAGTCCAGAGCTGCTCTCTTTGTTCGGCCTGCTTGTTTGCCGTCTTTGGCTTTTTGTTTAAAGATTGTGCAGAGAAGCCGAGGGAGACGGAGAGAACAAACACAGCTGCTGTGTCTGAGGACCGGCTCCGCTCGGCTTCTCCTCCCAGCAGAAAGAGATCCGTAGAAATGTTGTTGTAGAAGCTGCATGCCGACTTCTCTGTAATGAAATCCCAGCAGCAAAACCCAGGCTGCTGGTGTCCCTGATGGTTCTGGATCTTTTTCTCAAATAGACTTGTCCTTCCACTAAACTTTCCATTGGTAAGCTTAGCTTTAGCACTGACCTGCTGGACATCCATCAGGTCAGAACAGGGATTCCCAAAGTGTGGGTCGAGGGCCTGAGGTTGCCCCTCTGGTGTTATTCTACTAAATAATGACAACTGGCTGAACCGCTCTGCAGGGAGGGAATATTTATACAATTTGACTGAAATCTTGTTTTCAGTCAGAAACAAAAACATGTTTTATTGCTCCAGGTTGATTATCAAAAGCAGTCTGAGCCAATGTTCCCTCTAATTTTTCATGTGTCTGGGCGTACACACAAGCTTCCTGAACACACTGAGGACCACTGTGAGCATCATCAGTGTACACGGCGTGGCCACTGCGGACCACTGTGAGCATCATCAGTGTACACGGCGTGGCCACGCACAAGTATCATAAATCTGGGATCATAGAAAGTTGCATGGCTTATTAAAAAAATCATATTACATCAGCAATTTTCATTCGTTTGCTTTTAATTTAAGTGATTTGCTCAATTAAAATTAAAAAAAAGAAAAGAAAACATTGCTGTTCATGAGATGCATGCTATAAGTAAGAGTCCTGCTTCAGCCAGGGTGAGATCTTAGAAGAAGTGCATTTCTTTTTTTTTTACTTTGTCTTGGTGAGTGGATGTCCCACTAGACATAATAAGCTGATGGCTTTCACGTTTCTTAACTCTACCGCACTATTCTCACCTGCACGGCCATATGACCAAGGCACGTAACCCACGTAGCGAAAGTGAACCGTATCGTATCATTGGCTGGATTCCTGTCACTCACTGAGTTCGATCGCAAAGTAGTACGGAAAAAATTTATTGGTCCATAGTCAAAACTGATGTCTGAGCTCAATGTCCACTTTACGTTGGACTTTATTTTATGCGCTACATAGATTTTCTTGTGCGCTGTGAATATGTGAGCAGAGCGCGATTGCGCAGGCGCAGCTTAGAGGGAACATTGGTCTGAGGGTGTGAATACTGTTTATAGGCACTGGTTTCCTTCCTCCTCCTCCTAAAGACTCAGTGAAGTTGGGGTGAGCAGGGCCTGATGTAGAAGGATGTGACCCTGGGCTGGTTTTGGTGCCGTATCCCTGGGTAACGCTACATCAGGTTTAAATGTCTGCTAGCCAATAGCTCCAGGTTGTCCCAGAAAATGCACCGTTACTTCAAAGTTTTCAATTTCTAGAGCCATTTTATATCAATGTTTCATTGATATAAAATGCTACATATGTCTAGTATCACTTAAATTTGACTTTCTGATGTAAAGCTTTTAAAATTGGGCCTCTGTCTCTTTAAAAACTCCTGCTCTTCCTGAAGCTCCGCCTCCAGGAAGTCATCCAACATGGCTCCTCTATTAACCCTTTAACGGTTTTACCAGTGTTGCTCTGAGCAGCAGCTCCTTTCATGAGCTCAGCAGCTGATTGCTAATTGCTGCTGGCTAGTCTGAAGGAGCAGAGTGGGGGAGGAGCTGCGCCTGGAAGGCGGAGCTAAGTCCATACAGTTGTTTTGCAGCTGAATGGTTGCCATGGAGATTGAAAAGCAAAACTCTATGATGGAAAGATTGAGAGTGGATTTTAAATGACGCAATTCAGCTGATGTGAGTTTTATATGAAGTAAAATGTTTGCAATATTTTATATATTTTGATGAAAATATTCATAAATTAATAATAAATAAAAGAAGCCAAGTCTGCAGCTTCTGTCCCAGTAAATATGGACTAACTGAAGGCGGCCATTAGCCCCAGCAGCCATCGTGTTTCTGAGTCCCAGGTAAACCATCGGGTGTTTAAATCTGCTCTTAATGCGCCTTAATGCTGCAGAGCCGGAGCGCTGCTCATTCACACATTAAGAGAAAAGCACTGCGCTTCCTTCCTGGGGAATATTTCAAAAGCTTTTACTGAAAACTGGGAGATGAAGCAAAAAAAGATTTGTTAAAAGCAGAATGAAATGCGGCGGTAATAACAGCCTGATGTTCCCTCTAAAAACAGGGATTAATAAAAACAACTGCAGCGTATCGAATGATGAAAATGATTCTCTGCTGCATCAAAAAGGTCTGAAAACATGAAGTTCAGGGAAAACAGCTCAGCTGCTCTGACTTTCAGCTCCGACTCAAGGTTTCCTTAAACTGTTTGGCTTTTGTCAAATCTCCAGTAGCGTCGCCGCGCTGACTGTAATTAGCTTCCAGATTAATCTGCGTCGGCGCGGCATAAAGCCAACTAGTCAAATAATAGGTGAGTATCAGCTCTGAATGGCTGCAGTCCCCAGATCCCCCATGCAATTATTTCCTATTCACATTAATTATTACTAACAGATGACTCTAATGACTTTGAGAGGAAGCTGACCATGACAGCTTTCCAAACGATCAATACTGCTTCAAATGGGGTCGCAACACTTGGAAACGCTGCGTATTTAACAGATCTGTGAACAAGAGACGCTCCGCTTCCTGCTCTACACAAAAACATGGCTCAGGAAATCAAACAGCCCATTTAAATCCAGGAAAATAAAGTTTTTCCTAATTTCACCTTGTCAGGCTGCAGCTCTGAACTTTTACCGACCTGGAAAACTGTGGGATTTGAATCTGTTGCTGTGGTGACTTAACTCCAAACATCAACCAGTGGCGCTCACTGATAACAGCTGAGATCACTTTTCATTTTGCACTTTTGCTAGTTTTGAAAACGTTTTGCGCACTAATAAATATTTCCAGATAAACTCCAAAATGTTAATCTACTTGGTGATTTTGCTTTCAATTAAAGTTCAACATTTTTGTTGCCGTTTTGGTTAACGCCTTTAAAAATGTTCCAGTAGTTAGATGTTTATACTCAAGCTCTTATTTTGAACTTGGTAACAACCTTTGGCAGCGGTTCCATTTCCTCTCCTCACATTCTCTTTTCTCCCAGTAACTGAAACGAAAACATGAATGAAACACCAGTAGAGAAACTGGTGCTTGGTGGGTTCAGTCTTTCAACATATGATTTCTATTATAGCGCTTTACATGCTGTGTTGGTGTAGCGCTTTAGCATTAGCTTCTGCTAACTATCATGTTGGTGTAGCATATTAGCATTAGCTTGTGCTGAACACCATATTGGTGTAGCGCTTTAGCGATAGCTTCTGCTAACTATCATGTTGATGTAGCATATTAGCATTAGCTTGTGCTGAACACCATATTGGTGTAGCGCTTTAGCAATAGCTTCTGCTAACTATCATGTTGGTGTAGCATATTAGCATTAGCTTGTGCTGAAAACCATATTGGTGTAGCGCTTTAGCGATAGCTTCTGCTAACTATCATGTTGGTGTAGCATATTAGCATTAGCTTGTGCTGAATATCATGTTGGTGTAGCGCTTTAGCGATAGCTTCTGCTAGCTTTCATGCTGGTGTAGCATGTTAGCATTAGCTTGTGCTGAACACCATATTGGTGTAGCGCTTTAGCGATAGCTTCTGCTAACTATCATGTTGGTGTAGCATATTAGCATTAGCTTGTGCTGAACACCATATTGGTGTAGCACTTTAATGATAGCTTCTGCTAACTATCATGTTGGTATAGCATATTAGCATTAGCTTGTGCTGAACACCATATTGGTGTAGCGCTTTAGCGATAGCTTCTGCTAACTATCATGTTGGCGTAGCATATTAGCATTAGCTTGTGCTGAACACCATATTGGTGTAGCGCTTTAGCAATAGCTTCTCCTAACTATCATGTTGGTGTAGCATATTAGCATTAGCTTGTGCTGAACACCATATTGGTGTAGCGCTTTAGCGATAGCTTCTGCTAACTATCATGTTGGTGTAGCATATTAACATTAGCTTGTGCTGAACACCATATTGGTGTAGCGCTTTAGCGATAGCGTCTGCTAACTATTATGTTGGTGTAGCATATTAGCATTAGCTTGTGCTGAACACCATATTGGTGTAGCGCTTTAGCGATAGCTTCTGCTAACAATCATGTTGGTGTAGCATATTAGCATTAGCTTGTGCTGAATATCATGTTGGTGTAGCGCTTTAACGATAGCTTCTGCTAGCTATCATGCTGGTGTAGCATGTTAGCATTAGCTTGTGCTGAACACCATATTGGTGTAGCGCTTTAGCGCTGGCAGAATTAATGTTTATGGAATAGTGCAGCTAACGTTTTACTTGTTACCAGAGTAATTAGTGTTTAAGCTTCTGATTTTGGTAAACATCGACAGGAAACGGAGACAGACTCAGACAGGGTTGGACTTTTCCAACTCACCTGAAAACATGGAGACCGACCATCAGACTCTAATGGAGAGAGAACAGCTGGTTGGTTCTGGATCAGTTTTTTGTTTTGGACCGAAACAACAAACTTCATCTCCTGCTGTTATGCAGAAAACCTCAGACTCAATTCAGTTAGTGGCAGCTTCAGTAAAAACAGATAAATATTTACTATGAAATGTGTCTCTCATGATCAGATGTGTGCTTTATTGTGAGCGGTTCGTCTCTTCTGTTTTAGTTTAATTGGTTTGGTAGTCGACAGAAAACCAACCGTCAACTAGGCAACAGAGTCTTCCCTGTGATTTTCAGTGGTTGATTACTTCTAAAATCTTTCCCAGGAGGTCCAAAGAAATGGAAAAGCAAGAAGTATTGCTGCAGGAAGATGGCCCAGCCTGCTGAGCCTGACTTGCCCACGAAGCAGCGGCAGCGGCAGTGAGCAGTCTCTGTCCAGTGCTTGCAGTGAATACTCCAGTGGTTCCCACACCTGGGCTGACGGACGCGGCTTCTCCAAGCAAGTACGTTTCTTGTTTTGTTTTGTGCTGGTCTTATTTTCTATCTTTAACTTGCGTTGTAAAGATCGATAAAACGGTTGCTAATGTCTCCACAGTGTGCCTCCAGCCGGGACAAGCGTATGAGCACTGGCTCAGTATCCAGCAATCATTCAGTGTTCATTGAGCCAACGGACTTGGGATGGAAGGAGGGCCATATCCTGAAAGGCCTGAAGCATCTCCAGATGAGCAAGTCCAAAGAGGCAACCTCAGCTGCAGCTGTTCCACACTGCAAAGACTGCATGACCTCAAATGAGGGAATTTACTCCTCTGGTGTCAAGTCACACCAACAAGGCTCTCCGGCGAAGAAAAGTTCAACAAGAAAACCTTTGACAGCTGAGCCGCAGGCCTCCATCTTGGACTCTGATGATCCAGATGAATTTGGCGAACAATCAACAAAAACACGTCTTCATTTGGACTCATTGGAGATTTCTGCGGATGATGACAAAGTTTCTCATGAAGACTCAATTCTTCCAGCCAGCTCTGGTCTCTTCCCCTCACCCGACTCTGACAACTTCCTGTTTTTAGGGGCCCCCACCGTTAAACCTGGTGTGAGTCCAACTGATAGCCTCACAAAGTCTGAGGGACTCAACAGGAACTCATTAGATAAACGCATATCAGGAGTGAAGCTCAGCGACAGGAATAATAACCAAGAACTGGCCACTGACCGTAAATCCAGACTGGACTGTAGCCACAGACAGCAAGGCAGACTCTCTATCAAGCAAACAGAAGCAGAGGTAAATGATGTGAGCTCCTCAGCTCAGCGTTCTGCAACCAGAGCTCTGAGCTGCATGAATGAAGCCAGACAGCGAAGCGCTTCAATGGAAGTGCCCCTCTGCAGAGACCATTCAAATCCAGCCGGTGGGGACAGCAGGGACTGGATCAGCTCAGAATCTCCACAGAGGAAACCAAAACCTCAGTTTTGTGACTCAGCAAGGAAAGCTTTCATTCTGAGAAGCAAGAGTGCAGATGGAGGCCAAGATCAGCTTAAACATACCTATTCTCCTCTACATCAGAAGCTCATCAAGGGTCAAAGACCCAAAGGACAGGTGACTTCTTCAGGACACGGTGTGCCCAGCAAACGGGCCAACCCTCATGGTTCCAGCAAATGTAACTTACCTAAAACTGACAAAGATCAAGATGTTTCAATGCCAGTCGGCTCCAAGTGTGTTGAGAGTATGCAACAGCTGTCTCCGCTTGCATCTCCTGTGAAACAGTCAAAGATTCTTAAGTCACCAGGCATCAAGGACAGCCTGAAGAGTCCAACAAAACCATCAACTAGAGTCTCAAGCAATGACTGTGCTGAAGAGAGCATCTATGACAACCTGCCCTGTTCACCGAGGAAACAGAGACGGCAAGAAGACCAGGGAGATTCGTTCACATCAGAGCGAAGGTCTCCGTCGCCACCGCTACCACCAGGTCGAACTACTTCTCTTCTCCTTAAAGCCGGCTCCGACGGCACAACCAAAGACAAAAAACTGGCAACTCAGCCTCAAAGCTCAACCACTGGCAAGCCATCAACAGTTACTGACTTCAGTTCTGGTTTAGAGACTCAGCAGTCCAACATCACAAAAGATAATCAACTTGCTGACCTGCAAATAAGAGACATCTCCATCAAAACCTTCCTTACCGATGGGTCAAAGATTCCTCACCTCCCCGTTCAAGAGTCACAATCATCAGACTCAATTCAGACGGACAGAATCACCAAATGCCGCAATGAGAATGGATCGACAAACCGGAACATCCTACAGAGATCCCAGCAGAGCATTAGTGAGCCAAAGCTTTCTGAAGTCCTGCCTACAGGTTTCTCTAATGTTTACTACCACGGGGTTCCCAGTAATCTCCACACATCCTCCTCAAATGCTGTGAAAAGGACACTTCCTGTGAATGCTAAGTCTCACGACGCAATCTCTGGACAGAACACCAGTACCTTCTTGATCTTTGGGAGGCAGAGTAATGACGATCCAAACAGTCTGCAAACTTTTCAAACATTCACATGCGATCCCCAAGTGATGCATGAATTTGGTTCACGAGAGAAGTCTTGCCGGAAGATTGAGACCCGCTGCAACTCCCTGGACTCTGAGCCTCTCCAGCCAACATCTGACGCCAGCGGGATGTTGGACTGGGGCTTCGATGAGCAAGGCTGGCTGTTTAAACGCTCTGTGTCTGTGTCGACCAGACCTCTTCTCAAACCAGTGATGGGCATGAATGGAGCTAAAGCTCGCAGTCAGAGCTTTGGTGCACGCTACATGGACAGACCGAGCTTCAACAGATCTGGAAAGGTCCGGACCCAGATCAAAACCCATTCAGGGAGCTCGCTGAACTCTCTTGGGGATGTCCTTCCCGGTAGCATGAGCTGCTCCAGTAGCTACCACTGTCCAATGAATCGATCCCTTCTGAACAACTTTCTGATTGAGGAAGGACTGACAGTCCCGTCACATCTGGGTTCATCCAGTGAAAGACTTCAAAGTCTTAAGCTGCAGAGAGAGCAGGCGAGGCGCCTTCAGATCGAGCAGCAGTTTTCCAGCGCATTTGGTGAGCCGGTCTCCGAGGAACCCGAGAGACAAAGCACCATAACCACCATCGAAGAGAAGGTGATGCTTGGCATTGAGGAGAACTTGCACAAGTCACAGGAACATGAAAAAACGAACGAAGTAAAGCAAAAGTCTGGCTCTAGCATTGCAAGTTGGTTTGGTTTCCGTAAGAGTAAACTTCCGGCTCCAAGCAACAAAAAGATGGATCCACCAAAAGGAAAGGAAGAAAAGCGGGAACAGAAGATTACATCTCTGCTGGGAGGAAAGAGTACAAAGTCAGACAAGAAGAAAGACAGACGAAAAAGTGATGGAAAAGAATGGTAAGCCACACAGACACATCCTCTCAGCATGATGGGTCCATTAGAGCGTCACACATTGTGATAGTTGAGTAAATCGCCGGCTTCCTGAGTTCATATGACAGGAAAAGGTTTTCTTTCAGCTCTGTGGGAATAAGAGAGCCCCATGATGCAGTTCGGTCCTGCATCTCGATTCCTGGTCCAGGAATGTCCCTCTCTGAGGTCCAAGGACATGCAAGCATCTTAGTGGAGCCCCAGGTAAGACTTTGAATGGTCCAACTGGACTCTTATCCATTTTTAAAGGTTTTATTGGCTCTAGTGGCCTTTATTTGATAGTGAATTGACAGAAAAGTGGGTAATGAGAGACGGAGAAGAGGACCGAGACCAGCTCAGAAACTGGGTCTGGCCCGGTTAAAGGGAACCAGGTTGGTTCCAGTGACTTACAAGGTTGAAGATATCAGTGAAGAAACGAAGTACGTCTTGTGACGGATCATTCTGGTTTCTCTGCAGATGATGAACCGAAGACCTGACGGTGAAAATGGATCCAGTGTGAGGAGCCAGGACGCAGTCATAGGTCAGCCTCTTCCTGGGCCTGCTGCCGGGTCGAGTGTTCAGTCGTAGACAGCACCTAAATGTCCTGATTTCTTTAAAAGCATCGTGACGAGTTGGTTTGTGACCAATGGTGGAGCGTCCAGGCATTGAGGTTTTGTCTGTGCTTGCCATTTTACAGTTTGCAGACAGAAGTGAAGACCAAATATGACAGACGTGTGTAAGTCATGAAACATGATGAAAACCCTAAAATCAGTCAAACAAACTGCAAAATGCTGAGTTCTGTCAGTTTGTGTTTCTCCATTCATCCACCGTTCATCTGATCAGTTCCTGATTCAAACCATCTCAGCCTCCAGCAATCAGATTCTGCTCCAACATCATCCACCTGGTTTAACCTCCATCCTCACACATCCACGCGCTAACGTTCGCTAGCATTTGCTAGCATCTGCTAGTGTTTGCTAATGTTTGCTAATGAAGTGTCGTTACGTTACTCAGCCAGAGAACTGCAGGGAGCTTTGGGACAATTTCTGCTGGTTTAAAACCACAAGTCTGACGTTTTGTTGAGGTTTATGTTGTTGACAGAATCAGTTGTTTGAAATGGTAAAATACACAATAACTTGCTTAATTTTGTAAAAACGGTTTTTATGCTTGCTTGACTTTGTTTTGGATTAGATATGCTAACGTGGAAACATATTCATCAAAACGTTGTGATGTATTGATCCGCTGGGGTCTGTGCCTTACCAGAGGAACCAAACTCTGAGAAATGAAAAGGTCTAATTAATCCCAATTGAAAACCAGATTCTGACAAAATCAGCAACATTTTTAATTCAAAACCTTTTATTCCTAAATTATTAAATAAACATCCGTCAGAGCTGAATATTTCTAGTTTTAATCTTTTCTTCATACATCAGCTTGGATCAAAGAGCTTCAGGAAGCTCTGATCAGTCATGGAGCTTCTTTAGTAATGTGGATGCTAACATTAGCATTAGCTGCTACATGTTAACATTGAGATCCTATTTCAAGCTAGCATAACTTCACTAATAGGCTAACTGCTTTTGGCATAATTTGCACACTACAGCAATATTTTCCAGGGTCCAATCAAATCGCTTAGAAGAAGAAATTGAGAAGCAGCTTCATCGCGAATGTTAGCGCATGTGCATCAGATTTACGGCTGTACCAGAAACATGTGAATACAAAAGTTCCTGCCTGAAAAGTTTAACGCATTAAAATCAATGTATTCAGTTGATCAAGATGAACATGTTAAAGATCCGTCACTCATTTGAATGCAAATCTAATCAACAGCTTTCAGATTTTCATTAATCACAGAGGAAGTTATGAGTCATTTTCCTTTATTTCTCCGTCTGTTACATAAAATCCCATCGGATGAAACGGAGTTTGTAGCTGGAACGACATCAGCTGAATCAGTTTAAGAGAAACTGTTTTCCAGCTGCTGGCTGCTCCTTTATGACTGGACGTTATTGGATGGTACTGTTAAAGTCTGGTTTTCTCCTGATGAAAGGTTCCTATTGGCCCGTCGTCCATCACGTTGTGGTTCAGATCCGATTCCTGATCCAACCCGTTCCACTCGCTGCTGACGGCTGGAGCAAAGCGGCAGTGAACATTTATTTGTTCTGGTTTTAGTGTCGCTTTGTGCAGCAGCTTGTTGAAGTTTTCTCACAGGCGGCGCTGGAACCTGATTGGCTGGCGGAGGGAACATTAGCCGACCTCCGGGGTTAATCACCTCATTAAAACTTCAGCTCTGCTCCGTCAGCCGAGAGAATTAGCTTTCAGCTCCGGGATGATTTTAACACCAGACCAGGAGAAAACATCACCTTCACTTAATTCAGTAAACCCAGAGAGGAAGTTAAAACTTTCCATTATCCAATTACCTCCAACTGCATTTCTCACATAATAATCGAGGCTTTGACTGATTTATTTATTCAGGTTTCCCTTCAGGAGGGAATCATAAAAGGTTTAAGAACCACAATTAAAACACACATTGACATTTTTCTCACATTGTGAAGTTAAATCTGACCAAACTCCTATTGATCAGGTTAGTAAGAATTTATAAATGATTTATTTTTGATTAAAGCCAGAAAACTTCTTAGATACATATTTATTCTTTTAATTAATGTTTTTTAATCTTGTATTGTGTTTTATTTTTACTTATTTTTTAAATGTTTTAATAAAATTCTTTTTCATTAATTACAATTTCTTTAATCATTAAAACATTTTTTATCCTGGGAAGAATCTTCCCCTGGTCTTCAGATGGTTTGGGGGTGACCTTTGACCCTTGCTGATTTCCATGTTGGTCAGGGTTTAAATGATGGGATGTGAATCTGATGAGTTTGGATAAAAACGGATAAATTGAGGCGACGAGGAAACAGAACTGGAAATATCAGTTTAAACGTCTGTCGGACTTTCAGGCGTTTTCAGGAAAAACCTCAGCGATGTTCTGGGATTCAGCGCCGCCTGAAGAAAAACCCTGCAGAGGAAACACTGCAGGCTAACTGGATGCTAATTTAATGCTAGCTTTTTTCTCTGGATTCCTGCCAGGTGTTTATTTGTTTTGTTAGTGAAGTCGGTCTCTGGATGCCTCTGACCTGTAAAACCATCAATAGTTTGTTGAGTTACAGAAAAAACATTTCGTTCACGCCATGCTGAACCATTGTGTGCATTTCATGTGTGGTCAGAGCATGCTAACACTCATTAGCATCGTTCAGACAGAGCGGCGGTTAAAGTGGCTCATATCTGGATCTTATTCTCATTTGTGATGAAGCATGAAATATTTTGGGCTTTAACTCAAACTTCCAGCAAACTGAGGAAAACCAGGAGGCAGAGAGGAAAGTATCTGACCCACTGAAAATGTTTTGTATTCATCATAAAGAACCCAGAGTTGTCTGTCAATCTGCCTCCTTCTCCATTTCTACTCTGAAATCAATCAGATTTAATTTGTAAAGTGATTGTATTAATTTTCCTCTTGGTTAATTACATCGTTCATAAACACATTTCAAAGCTTCAGCCATGCTTCCATGCTCTTCCATCCTGCCAACTGTTTGTGGATAGCTGCTAGCGGCTAGCTGCTAGTGGCTAGCTCCCTAGCTGCTAGCGGCTAGCTCCTAGCTGCTAGCGGCTAGCCCCCTAGCTGCTAGCGGCTAGCCCCCTAGCTGCTAGCGGCTAGCTCCCTAGCTGCTAGCGGCTAGCTCCCTAGCTGCTAGCAGCTAGCTCCCTGTGGGCCTCCTGCCACTGCAGCTGTCCTCCTTGTGCCGCAGGATCGCGCCGCGCCATGCGGACGCTGGACAGCGGAATCGGGACCATTCCTCTCCCAGAGTCCTGCTCCTTCTTCTCCTCCATCCTCAGTTTCCTTCCCAAATCCTCGTCGACCCCCGAGCAGTCGCTTAGCCCTCCCAGTGTTCCCGGTTCCTCCAGTGAAGACGTGTCCCCGTCCCCGTTGCCCCGGTGGAGAGTCCCGTCCAGCGGCAGGGACGGCGGCCGCTCAGGCCTCCCCGCCTCCCTGTCCGACTCCTCCATGATCCCGTCGGTGCCTTTCCCCACCGTGGCCTTCCTCCAGCCCTCGTCTCACCCCATTGTGACCCCAGCCAGTGTGTGTGACACCCAGAGCAGGCTGCCCAGACCGCCCAGAGGTAACGCCGTTAACGCAGAGACCTGAAGGGCAACAGCAGCAGGTCAAATCAGGTTCAGCCAGGAGGCATCAGGCTACAGGTCACAGCTAGCATAGCGGCCGTGTTGACGCTGTAGGATGCTGTTAGCTTACGCTAAATCCTTTAGCTTAAAGGATTGAGCTAATTTGTTGTCTTAAGCAATGAGACAAATATTTTAGCGTAAATCATCAACCTAAATATTTTACCTAGTACTAACATGTGCTAAGTTAATAAATTAATTTAGCGCAAGTATCTGCGTTATGATTACTTGTAGTTAACAAATAATTGGCATTGGCACAACAACTCCTTGTTGTGGAAAGTAACAATGTGTCAAGCTAATGTTACCAAAAGCTAAATTATTAGCTTGAATGTTTTCATTTATGTTAGCTTAAGCTAACTCCTTTGGCAAACATGGTTGCCACATTATGAACTAAAAGCTAAAGAACCCCTTGCTAATGTGACCTGATACTAACATATTTGACGGTTAGCTTAAGCTAAATCGCTATGCTAAGGCATTAGGTTAATATTTTCAGTGGCTAAATTGTTCAGCTAAATATTTTAGCTAGTATTATCTCGGGCAAAATAAATAGGCTAAAGCTGTTAGCGTAATAGTTACCACAGATAAAGTATGACTGAATGTTTGAAATAAATAACTTAAAGTTGGAGCTTTAGTCCACAGTTTTAATATCTTTTTCAATAAAATATTTACCTACAGGTAAGAAATATGTAGGTAATATAAGGATTGAGCTAAATATTGCAGTTAGAGTAATAAATATGAACTCCTTTCTTTTTTTTTCTCCAGTTGAAGCAGCCAAAGCTAAATTTTATTGTAATTTTTATCTTTCCACTTTCATTTTAAATGCTCAAACTGAAGCCAAAACTAGATGTAATCTTGTCTATAATTATTGCAACAAACTATAAAACCTAAAGGTTGTTTGAATTTAAATCACAGTTTTCACAGTTGCGTTTCCCTAACTGTTTAAAAATATAATAATCTGTAAATGTTAATGACATAAATTTGTAGAAATGTTTCCTCGATTAAAAGCTGACATTGATTTATTTTCTGTTTTTCCAGGTGGGACGGAACCAAAGAAGCTGAATCACATCAAACCCAAACCGCGATCCACGGCGAACCAACCGCAGGAGCCGAGCCGCCTGCAGCTGGCAAACTGTGAGGAGGCGAGGAGCGCAGAGCATTTAGTCACCTTTAGTCACCTTTAGTCACTGGTTTACAAGGATATTATCAGTTTATTATCAGGTTATTATCATGTTATTATCAGAGTTACATGGACCTCCAGCTCTTTAGTCTTGGGATGTTGGATCAGTTTCTCTGCAGGAGCCCAGAAAGATTTGCTCCAGCCTTTATCTGCTGCTGGCGATAATCAAACTGTTTCCTCTCCAGAAACTCAGAGCTGCCTGAAAACTGAACTGTGCTTAAAAAGGCTTTCCATTAAATTTCCATCTTCACAGAGAGGAGAGCTTAATGTCCGCCGGCAGCTGAGCGCTTGACTAACGCTCCCAAACATCCCCCCTCCGACTGCAGCACAGCAGTACGGCAGGCCCATTTAACATTAAATCAGCTTCACCACTCTTACATCTGAAACTTATTGATGATATCTTAGTTAATTAATTTATTGCTGATTATATTCCCACTAATTAGCATCAGAGTTACCACTGAGGCTTTAATTCAAAATATCTACAATAAATTACTATCTGAAACATTTCAGATGTCAGAAATTAAATAGTCATAAAGTGAATTTGAAATATTTCACATTTTGTTCTGACCAGTTATAATCACAATTATAGATATTTTAAATGTATTTTAGACAGATATGTAAGATTCAACCAGTGCAAAGAGCTAATGATGATTCAGCAAAACTGAATACTCTGTAATTTTTTATTTCTATCTTTTTATTAAGAAATCTCCAAATTTAATAAAACTGTTTTTCTATTTAATTATTAACATCCTGACTGTTCAGAATGACATTACTGATGTTTTTAATAATTATTCTGATTTAGCATTTTTAAATTTCAATTAAAAAATTAAATCAAAAAAGATTTTTAATTTCAGCTTGTTAATTTCATCTCTTCAGATCTGTTTTTAATTTAATTATTTGTGTCTTTTTAGAGAATAAATGTCAATTCTTTGCAAATTTATGTAATTCTGACTCATCGTTGTATTAATCTCTAGTTGTGATTATGGATGTGTGACCCATCAGGATGAATTATGTCATCTGTGAAAAGCAGAAATCTTACATTTTCAACAGGATGGTTCATGTTTTTGATTTTATTCAAAACTCATTTTTATATATTTGGAATGTAATTCCAGATAGTCAGACTGAGCTGATTTTATGTTAAATCGGCTTGCCATAGCTGCGGTTGTAGCTGAATGTGATGGTTTTTTTCAGGGCTCCTGTCTCTTTAAGACACAGGTGTCAAACTCCACACCTGGGGATCACAACATTTAGGAGGTAATTCATATAAAATGAATCTGTTTGATTCCAGTGTTTGGCAGCTGTGGCTCATCGAAAACTGGAGGACTGGAGTATTTCATTTAGGGGACTCTGCTCTGTTTACAGCGGCGGCCATCTTTGTGTTTTCACCAACGCTCCATTTGACAAATCGGGACAGTATTTTTGTTTAGTTATTTAAGGCTGGGATGAAAATGATGCAACGTCTTTTCAATGCAAAGCAAAACATCGTGATGCAACTACAGGATGGTGAAATGAAAAATCACAAACTACTCATATTGAAATTTAATCCTGCATCATTTCTGGAACCGAACCGAACTATACCAGTTCATTTTCTACTGGATTCATGTTTACACGTGTTAACCCTTCATTCGTCCTCCGTGTTTTACTGCAGAGATCCTGAAGCTGGAAGATCCGCTGCAGGAAACCCTCACCTTAAAGACGCAGCGTCGGCCAATCAGGATGCAGGACAGCGCTCTGCTTCCTGTTCTCAGACATGTTGGAGGGCTGCAGCGCTCTGCGTCTGGCTGCTAAGATGAATCCTAAAACTCTCCTCCAAAACGTTCTGGTCTAGTCAAATCCTCTTCATCACGCTGAGGACGAAGTGGCAGCTAGCGGCGTTCTAATGTAGCATTGTGTAAATAAACAGCAGAGGTTCATTTCTATCAGCTTCATATCATCAACTTCAGAATCAGATTTCAGCTGTTTTACTTTTTCGTTCCGGCTGAAACAAAACCACCAAACCTAAAGCTGCTGATGTCACAGCAGACGCAGCTTTCTGCTCACCTGCCAGGTAGGAACTCACCTTTACGTCAGACTGAATGTTTTTCAGTTTCCTGTCCTAAAACAGTAGCATTTCACTGCTTGTTCCCAGTGATCAGGCTAACTAGCATTAGCAATACAAACATTTAGAAGGAGCCGTTTTCTAACAGATGCTACTTGATTTATTATGAAATAAACGATAATCAATTACTACGGTTGAAACTTATCACCCTAGAATAATAAAACCTTAAATTCTGCTGGACAGAATAATGAAGAGACAAACGGCTAAAATTCTGAAAGGGAAAAATAGAATTAGCATGCTAATGTTAGCATCGGCTAACTACTGTTTTCTGTTTATATTAATTGCAGATAATTTTTTGCACTATTTGAACTTACTTTATGATTTTACCATAAAAGACATGAATCCATTTTATTTTGTGTTAAATATAAAATAAGTTAGCATTGACATTAGCATGCTAACAATAGAACTTCTTATTTATTTTGATAAAATGTTGAAACTGATCAATCAATAAAATCTATAAATTACTCATCTGGATGCCAGCTGATGATGAGAATCGTCTCACTGTTTCAGACATCCAGGAACAAATTGAGCAATGTTTCTACCAGATGCTATCATTACTGTTAGCGGTTACTGGAAGGTTTAAAACATTAAAATTTCTTATATGATTTCTGAACAATAAGTTAAATTCTACAAAACAAACTGATAAAAATACAAACTGCTGAAAGTTTAAGGGAATTATTCTGTGAATGCATCTTAACGTTAGCATGCTAACGTTGAGGTTAATTTTCCTTTTCTGTGCGTATCATATTTCTGGTTACATTATTTATTTAGGTTTTATTTTTTTGCACTGTTTGAACTTATTTCATGGTTTGATTATTGATCAAATTTAACATGAAAGAAAATTAGCTTTCAGATTAGCTTTCTAACATTAGCATTAGCACACACTCTTACTTATTTTGATAAAAACTTTAGACATGTTCAAACAAATCCACCAATAAAATGTATAATTATTTATATTGCATAACCTAAATTCACCTTAGCTAGAAAAATGAGCTACAATATTTTGTGAAAGTTTACAGAAGATTTATATTTGCATAAAAACGTCCAGCCAACAATAGCATCCAAATTAAACTTTTCCTGACTAAGAACATTTATTACTAAATGAATCATAAATGAATCATTTCCCCACATGAAGCTGAGTCTGATCAGGAACCACAGGAAGTGGTTCTGCTACTTCCTGTCCTCCTTTGCTTCTTCTTGGGTTTTTAGCTCAAGGTTTCCACGACCTTCAGCTGTTTGGGGTGAAAAATATTCTGATGAAAATCTGGAGGATAAAAGTTCAGATATTTTCCAACACAGCAGAGGCTAAACGGATCTGAGGGGATTATTGGTTATTGATTATTGAAGTGTTGTTCTGCTGAGGCTGATGAGTTGTCAGTATCCGACTGTTCAGATTTCTGTCATCTTAAAATAACTTCAAACTGTTCATGTAAATATTGCTTAATAAACCATGTTCACTTTTTATTTTAAAATCACTGCAGGTTTCAATGTTACCAATAAAAGTCATGAAATATTATCAGATTAACATTAATGATGCAATATCTGATCATAAACTGTGTAAATGTAATGTATTTGGTCAAATGTTTATTTGATAACATTGGTGGTTTAATTTCTGAATTCATGTTTGTGAATATAAAACAAAGAAAAACATCATCAGTAAACAAGGTGAATATTATGTTTGCAAAGTTAAGCATTAACAGAAATATCACAAAATCCTGTAAATATTTAATATTCATGCTACAAACATTTAGCAGCATCTGGTCTGCTAAATGACCGGAGCCCGATCCCGACCCGGTTCTCCGGTTCACTGCCGGGTCCAGAAACCTGGGATCAAGTTTTTACATTAACCGCTTTCAGAATTGTTTCAAGATGGCCGACTGACGAACTGGTTCAGAAACGGGTAAGATACTGCCTCCTCACAGCCGCTCTGCAGAACTCTGAACTGTCCCTTTAAGGCAGGACTTCATGACTCATTTCCTGTTTGTGTGACGGTGTGAATCTGATTTCTGTAAATGCTGAACTCCTGGACGATGTGAATATTTTGGTGTTTAAACTTTTTCTCTCCTGCATGCTTCACTTTGATTCATCCGGACCGAAACCATCCAGTGGAGGAACGGTTTCCGCGCTGCGCACAGCGATGATGTCATCACTACGCCACAGTGATGACATCATCGCTTCACAGTGATGACATCAGAAGGACGGTTCGTTAGGAGTCTTTTTGCTCAGGGAATTGAACCAGTAACCTTCTGATAGATGCTGTGGATTCACTCAGACATGGAAACAGATCCAGGATCTTCTGACTCTCTGGAACAACGAATCGATTTTATCGAATCGTTTTTAATGTTTGGCTGTTTCTTCTTGTTTCCTGTTTTCAGCTGAGCCACGTATCAGAGCCATTTCCTGCTGGAACATTTAAAGTCACGGCGCTGCGTCACGTTGCACGCTCTCACCCGCTCCACTAGCTCACGCGCTGCATGTTTTAGTGTTTCAGCTGAAAAGTCCCGATCCGTTTTCACTTCCAGACTCAAAAAATAACTGGGGGATTTTTAAAAAATATTTTCTTTTCAAGTCCAACATTAAGAATGATTGAGATGTGAAGAACCCAAAGAATAAATCAGTTTTATGGTGAAAAATATCAGCTGACTCAGCAAAGTACTGGCTTTAAATCGGTGACAATTGCCAGTAAATAATTAATTAGTATTTTTAAGATTATTTTCTTAAACTCCTCAGATACAGCAATTTGGAGTTAAATGTCAGATTCAGACAACCTAAAACATCCAAACGTCACACAAATAGGAGAAAGACGAGAGTTTTTAGATTTACTGGCAAGGAGAACGGAAAGCAGCGTTCTTCACTTCCAATCTCCTCCCACTCTGCAGCGCGTTCGTTCTGCAGCACCCTCTCTTTTTATTTGCTCAGGGCGCTGCCTAGTTTCATAGCTTCTTGTGTTATCTTCAGTTCATTTCTGCTTCTTCTGTTGGCGCGTTGCACCCGGAGCTGAAGGATAAGTTCAGTTCCTGTTTGTTTCCTTCTGCAGCTGCAATGCAGGAACTGATGAACTCAGAACAATGGCGACCTGTTGCTCACTGTTTATCTGCTTTATGTAAAAAACAACATAAATATGAATTATCTTGTTGGAATAAAGTCCAGTAGATCTGATCTACAATCTGACTGAAACCTTTAATAAATCTGAGGAACAATTTGTTAAATTAATGATTTAAATCAAATCTTCAGGCAAAGCAAAGCTAACTTTTGTTCATGAAATGAAAAGAGACCGGAATCGGATCGGGACTTTTCTAATAAGTAGAACCCGTAGCGTAGGCATCGGGTCGGATCAGGCGTGGTTCTGATCCGGGCGGATGCAGCATGAAGAAAACAGCGCCCGTATTTTTCGAACATTTACTCAGACGTCTGTCAGTCAGCACTGAAGAGTGTTTGAACATTTATTGCACATATCGTCTCTCACTGTTGCAGTTTGTTTTTTCTGAATCCCATAATTGCAGTGATGTTTTGTGTACCGGTCGCCGTAGCAACCTCAGACTGGTAATCTTTATTTTATGTCCAAAAAACAGAAATAAAGTATTTCAGTACTTCTCCCTGATTGGTTGGATTATTTGGACTGTAAAACAGAACTGGTTGAAATGAGGAGATTCACAGATCTATAGATGGATGAATGATGGATGGATGAATGATGGATGGATGGATGAATGATGGATGGATGATGGATGGATGGATGAATGATGGATGGATGGATGAATGATGGATGGATGATGGATGGATGGATGAATGATGGATGGATGAATGATGGATGGAATGATGGATGGATGGATGAATGAATGATAGATGGATGAATGATGGATGGATGATGGATGAATGAATGATAGATGGATGAATGATGGATGGATGATGGATGGATGGATGATGGATGGATGAATGATGGATGGATGGGATGGATGATGGATGGATGAATGATGGATGAATGATGGATGGATGGATGGATGAATTATGATGGATGAATGATGGATGGATGGATGATGGATGGATGGATGAATGAATGATAGATGGATGAATGATGGATGGATGATGGATGAATGATGGATGAATGATGGATGGATGAATGATGGATGAATGATGGATGATGGATGAATGATGGATGGATGGATGATGGATGATGGATGGATGAATGATGGATGGATGAATGATGGATGAATGATGGATGATGGATGGATGATGGATGAATGATGGATGAATGATGGATGGATGGATGATGGATGGATGGATGATGGATGGATGATAGATGGATGATGGATGGATGGATGATGGATGGATGATAGATGGATGGATGGATGGATGATGGATGGATGATAGATGGATGAATGATGGATGGATGGATGATGGATGGATGGATGGATGATGGATGGATGGATGATGGATGGATGGATGGATGGATGGATGATGGATGGATGGATGGATGATAGATGGATGATGGATGGATGGATGATGGATGGATGGATGGATGATGGATGGATGGATGATGGATGGATGGATGGATGGATGGATGATGGATGGATGGATGGATGGATGATAGATGGATGATGGATGGATGGATGATGGATGGATGGATGATGGATGGATGGATGGATGGATGATGGATGGATGATGGATGGATGGATGATGGATGGATGGATGGATGATGGATGGATGGATGGATGATGGATGGATGATGGATGGATGATGGATGGATGGATGATGGACCTTCTGCTGCCGCCCCTCTGTCTGATGCTGCCCTGGTCGTGAGCCTTTACTATCAATCACTAAATGATTTTTTTATTTTATTATCGTTTTGATTTAATCAGTAATTTCTGGGGGAAAAAATTACTTTAAAATCAAGTAGAAATTTATTATATATATATATATATATTTTTTTTCAGGCTTGAATTGAAATAAACAGCAAAATAAATATTTCATTAAAGTGTCATTAAGCAACAGCCGCGACGTTTGATTGGATCACGTGGTACATGATGCAGACGTGCACGCGCATTTTCGCGCACCGGCCGCGGGACTCGGTGCGGAGCGGCGGCAGGAGGAGGAAGAGGAGGAAGAGGAGCGCAGAGTCTCCGGCTGGCAGGCAGGATGCGGCTGCGGCTCCGGACCGTCTCGGTTCTGCTCATGTCCCTCCTGGGCTCAGGTAGGAACCGCAGCTTTCACCGCAACATTCCCGGAATTCCCAAACTAACTTCCCAGCTGCAGAAACCAGTCTGAACAGTGATGGATGTTTCCCGTTCTGACCCGGTCCGGTTCTGACCCGGTCCGGTTCTCGAACCTTTAGTTTGTGGCTCTGCGCGCAACAACCTGGTGAGTTTAGTGAGTTTAATCATAAAATCTGCAGAATCTTTAATTTCTATTCATAAACTAGAGAAAATACAGAAGGATTCAAAACTAATAATAATAATAATAACTGAAACTTCTTATTGCAAAACTCGGCAATGATTTTGATTTCCAGCAGATGAAGTTCTGGTAGTTAAAAAAATAGAAGTGACTCAGCTGATGAGGGTTATGGACAGAGCAGCTTCTCAGTATTAATCGCTTCAGGCGTTGGGGAACCTGGAACGAGAGGAACCGAGAACCAGAGGAACCCGGAATCAGAGGAACCGGGAACCAGAGGAACTGAGAACCAGAGGAACCGAGAACCAGAGGAACCGAGAACCAGAGGAACCGAGAACCAGAGGAACCGGGAACCAGAGGAACCGAGAACCAGAGGAACCGGGAACCAGAGGAACCGAGAACCAGAGGAACCGGGAACCAGAGGAACCGAGAACCAGAGGAACCCGGAACCAGAGGAACCGAGAACCAGAGGAACCGAGAACCAGAGGAACCGAGAACCAGAGGAACCCGGAACCAGAGGAACCGAGAACCAGAGGAACCG